GTAGCCTTTGTTCTTGTTTCTGCATGCTGGAGGGGAAGGGGGGAAGGATGTTAACTGGAAATGCTGGTGCCCAGTCCATGTTGCCACCACTGTGTCCCAAGTCAACCTCCATGAAAATGCATGTGGCTCAGAGGTCCCCGTGCACTGGGACCTGTGTACAGCTGCCTTTGGGGAATGTCTACACCTAGGAAAAACTACTGAATGAACAGAAAAATAATCAGATTGGCAATTCCTCTGCTATGCAATGTACAAGCCATACAGTGCTTAGTTCCAGTCCACCACGGGCAGCCCCAGAGCTGGGCCTGTCTCCCAAGAAGTGTGAGTGTAACGGGAGCAAACGTTGCTCTGCTGCTCTCGGGGAGGCCACCTGGGCTGGGAAGAGGCACTTGTGTGTAGGGGCTCGCTGCTGCAGCTGGAGCTGCTCGGCCTTTGGTGAGGCAGAGGAGCTCTGTCCAGGCTGCTCGGCCTTTGGTGAGGCAGAGGAGCTCTGCCCCAGCCGCTCGTGCTCCTCTGCGAGCAGCCAGCAGGGATTATCTACCTGGAGGCAGCTGGCACGGATTTCCTGGTGAAGAATAGTGGGGGGAAAATAGGAGGCATTAAATTAAATRGAAGGTTGTTTTTCTGTTCATGATTTATCTGCAGTGTCAGATTCTGTGTCTTTTAGAACAAAAATACTTTATAAAAGACAAATTGGATGGTTTGGGGTAGAAGACAGGAAACTTGCTGTTTTTGTTTACAGTTTTTTTTTTAAAGAGTGACGTCTTTGGAAAGAGAAAAGCAAAGGAAATGGCAGTGAAGTTCACTTTAAAAATCTGATCTGACAAGTCCATTATTTTCTGTGAACAAGTATAGGGAAACTTKCAGAATTGTTTGCGAGCTCTTTGCAGATGATGCATGTGCCCTTTTTTTTAACTTTTTTTCTCTTTTAATAGACTTGCATGTCAAATGGCTTGTGCTGATTTGATTATGGAATGCTTGAACTTATTTCTGTAATGATGCTCTTTCCATTTCCCTAGGGATACATGCCATGAGCTCCTGGGACACGTGCCTCTACTTGCTGATCCGAAATTTGCCCAGTTCTCACAAGAGATAGGACTTGCTTCCCTGGGAGCATCTGATGAAGATGTTCAGAAGTTAGCCACTGTGAGTCACAAATCTTTCTCAGCATGCTTTCTCTTACCCCTGTCCTCTGTTAATGAAGTGACCTACGTTCTCTTACCAGACTTGCCTTGGCTTTCAGGTTGCCCGTGACTGTGACATGAGGGTCGCAGAGCGCAAGGTGTTTCTGCGTTGTCTTTAATGAGAGYAAAGCTGAATGCACTAGTCTTTAGGTTGTCAACTTAACTATTTATGGGCGGTAGCCATCCAATTCCTAGGGGTTATTGAGTGGATTTTGTCAGCTTCAGGGTGCTGAAAACAAATAACCAAGGTGCTTTTGGAAGAAAAGGAAACACATTTGGTGCGTGCTCTCGGCTCTACACCCTAAACTCCTCCAGAGGAGACCACCTTGTCACTGCTGTCTCAGTACTCGCCAATCTGCTTTGCAGATGTTCACTGTGTTGTAGCGTGGGTTGGATTTTGAGATCTGCACCCTTGGTCCTACACTGGAGAATGCAGAAACCAAGGCTGTGCAACAATAACTGTAGATCGGGCTCATGTACAGTGCCATGCCCGTGGCTGTGCTTTATAAAAAGGGATATATGGGAGTAGGAGGTGAGTGGGAACAGGATGAGCCTGCCTGTCTAAGATGTGAGGGGCCCCCACCAGCCAGGCCGGGGCTTCCTTGTCACTGMGGCAGCGACTCCGGGTTTCCACTGAGGGACTGGGCCGGGCTGCCCGGCCTCCCAGCCGCCTGCCTGGCTGCGGGGCCGGCTCCACACAGCCCCTCCTCGCTGCTTTGCATCATGAGGTGCACCCGTTGGTGACCTCTCTTCTGTGCTGCTTGCTCTCTTCGGTTGCTTTAACTTCCTGCATGCTTCATTTTGTGTATTCTGCTAAAACTAATACTGCAAATAAGAGAGAAAAGACTATATTTTAAAAGCAGTTTAATATTTAAATATTTACGCTAATGAAAAATTTGACGAGTTCCAGCAGAAGAATTGGTTACCAAGATACTATTGCTTTCCTATTTGTGAGAACTGCAGTGGTGATTTTAAGGATTGCAAATAAGTTGTTCTTAATATTAAAGGCAAATTCAAGCCAAGTTCACTAAACTCATAGCACTGATGCACCAGCTTAGCAGTGAACTCGAGTCCCATCTGCTGAGGAGTGAGTTTTACTCCATACCTGTTTGTTTATTTCTTTATTTTCGTCCCCGATAGTCCTCCAGAAGAGCCCACCAACTAATTTAATCAGTCAGGTTTCACTTCTTAATTAGGCTTGATGTCTTGATCATGGAGGCTTCCTCTCAGCATGTGTTCCAGGAATCATGAAAACTATCAAGTCTGTTTGTGTATTTGCTTGGTAGGGAGCAGACCCACCTTGTCATGGCCTGCAGTCTGCAGGGAGAAACAAGGTGACAGGCTGTTCCTGTAAGTACTTTGAGAAAAACAATATGTCCAAGTCATTTGCTCCAAAATAYTCTTAAATGATAGGAGCCTCTTGCAGAGACTCGTGTTGGGACTGATCTGCTTGGGGAGAGATGTTAACATAGGGAGACTTGTGAAGTGCTTCCTCTCCCCCTGCCCTCCGCCTTAAAAACAATACTCTGTTATGACTGTGTCATCTGAACAAGAAACTGCTCCTGAATCACAAAGCCAAAAATAAAGAGGACAGCTGAATCACTTCCCCTTATCACACTGGGAACTTGATATCTGAGTCAAATTTGATTTCTCCTCCCATGCTGGAAATAGCTCTTTGAGGTGGAAGCRCCCTTTGGAGAGAGCGCAGGAGCGCAGGTGTCTTGTGCAGAGGCACAACCAGGGGCTGGACTCCCCTGAGGCAGGTGCTTGACAGCTACAGAGGCCCTGCTTGCCCTCAAAGCAGCCCGAGTGCAGGTGGAACCAATGTCTCTCCTCAGCAAGGCTAAGGAGGCCAAGGAGTTCATTCAGTTGGCCATCAAATGGTGCCTCAGTGGCCATTAACTGACTTTTGCTGGATTCTGTTGCATTTCCACCCAGGCAAAAGACATGGAGACAGAGTGAGCTCAAAAGTGACAGCTAAGGGTCTAACAGGAAAACCAATGGAGCTTCTGGCTAGGCAACTTCAAGTAAATATAGAAACAAAGGGACTGAGAGGACACGTATATTACTGAGGTTGTGGCAGTATGCCCTGGACAAGCATCATAACTGGTTTAAAAAGATAGTAACATTAACAGCTGAGCTGTTACAGAGAGGACGACAGCTTTAGGAAGAGAGGAAAACACCTCCTAGGAYTTTAGACGAGAAAGGGAAGGATTATGACAGATGATTTCCTAATCTTTTGCTCCATTCTGCTTCCAAAAGCTACAGCATTATTGCTGCATAGATGTGCACCTTGGGTGCGTTCAGTCCTGAGCTGCTCAGAAACCTGCTGGTACTTCTGTCCCTGCCGACCTGCCGCAGGGATGAGGGCACRGTGGAGCCGGGCCCGGGGCAGAGCACATGTGCTTGCCTGCTTGCAATGAGCCACRTCAGGGAAAGCCCTCGGGGGGCACGTGGCTGAGCGGAGAGCGTGGCAGAGCCCGCGGTGCCGCCCGGGCGGGAGCCGAGCGGAGAACCTCACGCTGGTCCGTGAGTCTGGCAGCCAGGGCAAGGAGGCAGCGTTGTCCTCTCCTCTTGACACGAGTGTTCTTGCCACGAGAAATCCCATACTGAACGAGCTAATGGTGTTTTCATTTTATTCCTTTATTTGTTTTTTTTTTTCTTATTTGATGCTTTACAGTGTTTGAGGGTAGGAGATGTTCTCAAGAAAGGCTGGAGATGCAGAAAGCAAGTGACTGAGATATAAATTACTGGAACAAGACAAAATAATTACACAATCCATTTTATTGCCTGTAGTATGGTACAGTGCAGTTACTAATTGAAGAAATACATTTGCTTATATGTCTGGGTTGCTAATCATTATCATGATCATGATGTCTTGTACTGATTTTCTAGAAGTGTTTTTTCTTTTTCTTATTCACCTGAGCATGCCTGTTTTTTCTGCTTTCACATAATACTAAAATAAAAATGATCTTTTGTGCCTACCTGTCAAACTGTGCACTGTAAGGGTGACTTCACACAAGGTGCCCCAATTTATTTATATAATATATGACTTACACCACATTTAACAGCATATAAGGTGTTTGTTAGCAAAATTGCCTGAAAAGCATACTTTGGTTTGTATTTTAATATTGCCTTGTAATTTATGGACCTGAGAGCCGGAGAGCAGTAGCCCCTTGTAGGGCTGCAAGTTGATGAGGTGGATTCTGTCCCTGCTCCTCATGGCAGGAACGACTCCCAGCGTCGGCTGCTCGGGTTGCCCCTTGGCAAGGCAGCAAGTGTAGGGTGTGGGTGTAAAATTCCATGGGGCAAAGTGACTGGTGGTGCCTGAGAAGAGAGGAGATGAGGGCAGTGCCTGATTTTTGTGCAGTGGGTATCACTGAATCTTTCTATCTGGGTATTTGGCCATTAGGGACCAATTATTCCCACTAAAAGCTTCGGAGTTGTTTATTACTGGAAGGTGCACCTCAGCCTTCAGATAGGAAAGATTTTCACCTTTTCCTCTTTCTTGGTAATGTCTATTTTGTTGTTTTAATAGTGTGGGACAGTAGAAATCAAGCAATTTTTTTTGTTTTTGTAAGCCTGTATGTAGGAAACAATGATAGTCAACTGCTGCTGAATTTGAAGGAGCTGAGGGGGTTCCAAAGTGCATTTCAGGCTTGTTATGAATCTAAATGTTTTACCTTGCCTGRTGGTGAGTGAGGCCACTGATGTATTTCTAAAGCTGACCACGATCTGTCCGTGTAYGTATCACAAACAATATATTTTCTAAACATATTCTGGAGAAACAGTTGCATTCAGAAGCCTCCGCGTGGGAGAGGACAGCGGGAATTCCTGTGAGCTTGCTTCCTTTTCCTCTGAGGATCCGCAGTGTCTGGTTGTCCTGGTTTTGTTCCAGCTCTTCTCTCCACACTGAAGGACTGGGACAGGACTCAGGACAGTTACACGTTTTGTCTCCTGAGGAGATAAGCAGAACGGTAGAAACAGGAGCAATGCAGATAAAGACTTGAGTTGTGTCTGTTAACGTTGGGTGGATGCAGCTTTCGTGGCCTTGCTGCAGCCTCTCCTTTTCACAAACATCAGGTTAGGTTTTCTAGGGAAATAGCGACATATTGGGACATGAGCATAGCTTGTGAGCAGCATTTCTGTCAGCTTCCGCAAATTAGTAAATGGAGCTGTGAATTATGAAAATATTTGAAATTTCAAATATTTCCACTGTGCATTGGGGAAAAAATTAAAAAAGCTTCTTGAATGTTTCTTATTTAGACTTGTAAAGCCCCAGGCAGTACACTAGCCACTCTGGTGCGTCTCTGACATGCTCATCTGCTGAAGATATTCTGCTCTATTAAAAGTAATTATTTATTGACCAACAGAAAAGTGGGCATTACAGCCCTGGAGCTATAGCCTTCCCTTAGCATATTGAAGATTAGCATTCAAATCTGTGCCCAGCATTTCTCTTGTTACCAGTTGCATAGTTGTGTGATGGATGCCAGGAGGGAGCAGAGTGGTCGAGGGCTGCTCTGTTGGAGCTTCTTGCAAGGTTGGTGCTTCCAGCTGCACCTCTAGTTAATGACTAATGGGCCTGTGGCTTGGAGAGCCACAAWTGAATATGGTTTAAAAGCTGCTTGAGAAATTGTGACAAACTTGCAGACATTGTATGAATTGACTGTGATCCAGGCTGCTGCTTGCTTAAAGGGAGATGAGCCAGTTCTCAGCGTAAAAGGTATTAGGCCTGTACAGCTGAAATTAGATTTGATAGAAAACTATAGTTYGGTGCTGTCCTACCACCCAGCACAAGCTTAGAAATGCTGTGATCCATATTGCTTATCTGTTGAGAAGTAAAAGAAAAGGGCCCAGGCTATATTTCTGTTTTGAGTTTGGACGGGCAAAGCACCTATATCTGGATGCTTTTGGAGAGYGGCCAAATGCAAAATGTGAAAGTGATGCAAGAAACAGAAGAAA